TCTGTGAACTTAGTATGACTTTAGGCAGCCTCTCTGCTAATGGGTGGGGTTGTGTTTCTGTCTTGCTAGTTGTTTGGCGTGGGGCATCCAGCATTGGACCTTGCTGGCTGTTGGGTGGAGCTGGGTCTTAGTGTTGAGATGGAGATCTCTGGGAGACCTCTCGCCAATTGATATTATGTGCGGCCAGGAGGTTTCTGGTGGTCCAATGTCCTGGACTCGGCCCTCCCACCGTGGAGGCTCAGGCTCAACATCTGGCTGGAGCACCAAGACCCTGTTAGCCACACGGCTCAGAAGAAAAGGAAGAAAGAAAAAAATCCCAAAAAGCAAAAACTAAAAAATGGACAGAATCCTAGGACAAATGGTAAAAGCAAACTTATACAGACAAAATCACACAAAGAAGCATATACATACACACTCACAAAAAGAGAAAAAGGAGAAAAATATATATATATTTAAAAAAAAGGAAGAGAGCAACCAATCCAATGAATATATCCACCAATGATAATAAGCACTAAATACTCAACTAAGATAAACATAAAACCAGAAACAAATCAGATGCAGAGAGCAAACCCCAAGTCTAGGGTTGCTCCCAAAGTCCACTGCCTCAGTTTTGGGAACATTCGTTTCTATTCAGGTATTCTTCAGATGCAGGGTTTATCAAGTTGATTGTGGGGATTTAATCTGCTGCTCCTGAGTCTGCATGGAGAAATTTCCCCTCCTCTGTTCTCACAGCTCCTGGGGTTCAGTGTTGGTTTTGGCTTCGCCTCTGCGTGTAGGTCACCCTCAGGAGTCTGTTACTCACCCTTACAGAAGGGGATTAAAGCAGCAGCTCATTAGGGCTCTCTTGCTCACTCAGGGCAGGGGAGGGAGGGGTTTGGTAGTCATAATTGGAATGCGAGGTGAGCCTCTGGCGGCAGAGGTCGGCATGACGTTGCAACAGCCTGAGGCGCGCCGTGTGTTCTTCTGGGGAAGTTGTCCCTGGATCATGGAACCCTGGCATTGGCGGGCTGCACAGGCTCCTGGGGGATGTGGATAGTGACCCGCACTTGCACACAGAATTCTTGGTGGCAGCGGCAGCAGCGTTAGCAGTTTATGACCGTCTCTGGGGTACAAGCTGATAGTCGTGTCTCGTGCCTGTCTCTGGAGCTCTTTCAGGCAGTGCTCTGCCTTCTGTGGGCACGCTGGGAAGGGATCCCCTCTCCTCGCGCATCCCGAAACAAAGGTCTCGCCTCTGGCAGGTCCAGACTTTTTCTTGGATTCCATCCCGGCTAGTGTGGCACACTAGCCCCCTTCAGGCTGTCTTCACGCAGCCAACCCCAGTCCTCTCCCTGGGGTCTGGCCTCTGAAGCCCGAGCCTCAGCTCCCAGCCCCCACCTGCCCTGGTGGTTGAGCAGACAAGCCTCTCAGACTGGTGGGTGCTGGTCAGCACCAGTCCTCTGTGTGGGGATCTCTCCGCTTTGCTCTCTGCACCCCTATTGCTGTGCTGTGCTCTGTGGCTCTGAAAATTACCCCTGCCCAAACCCCATCCCTGCCAGTGAAGGGGCTCCCTAGTGTGTGGAAACCTTTCCTCCTTCACAGCTCCCTCCCACTGGTGCAGGTCCCGTCCCTATTCCTTTGTCTCTGTTTTTCCTTTTTTTTTTTTTTGCCTTACACAGGTACGTGGGGAGTTTCTTGCCTTCTGGGAAGTCTGAGGTCTTCTGCCAGCGTTCAGTAGGTGTTCTGTAGGAGTTGTTCTATGTGTAGATGTATTTTTAATGTAATTGTGGGGAGGAAGGTGATCTCCACGTCTCACTCCTCTGCCATCTTGAAGGTCTCCCTTTTTTCTTATTGAGATATAGTTGATTTACAATATTATATTAGTTTCAGGTGTACAATGTAGTGATGCAAAATTTTTATAGATAATACTCCATTTATAGTTATTAGAAAATATTGGCTATATTCTCTGTGCTGTGTAATATATTCTTGTAGCTTATTTATTTTATACATAGCAGTTTGTACTTCTTAATCCTCTACCCCCATCTTACCCCTCCCCCACTTCCCTCTCCCCTTTGGTAACCACTAGTTTGTTCTCTATATCTGTGAGTCTGTTTCTTTTTTATTATTGGCACTAGTTTTATTTTTTTAGATTGTACATGTTAGTGATAACATACAGTGTCTTTCTCTGATTTATTTCACTTGGCATAATACCCTCCAAGTCCATCCATGTTGTTGCAAATGGCAAAATTTCATTCTTTTCTATGGCTGTGTAGTATTCCATTTTGTGTGTGTGTGTGTGTGTGTGTGTGTACCACATCTTCCTTATCCATTCTTTTGTTGATGGACACCTAGGTTGCTTCCATATCTTGGCAATTGTAAATAATGCTGCTATGAACATTGGGGTGGCATAGATTCTTAAAGATAGAATTACTGGACCAGAGGTTGGGAACTTTTCGAAGACTTTTGGTACTTATTCCTGCACTGCTTTTTGGAACATGGTGATATATGAAAGCACCATCAGCTCTTAATTATTGGACTAGATGATGTTTGAGTCTTCTTTCAGCCCTAAAGTTCTCTACTTTTGTGATTGCGTCTCCCTTAAAGGGAAAAAGTGATAGAGGAGGTAATTTGAGTTGACAAATAATCTCCTTTCTTCCAGCTCAGCATTCTAGCCAATGCTTTCTTCAGCCAGGCTCATTATCAGAGCTGTCAGACAATGGGCAAGTGAATTGATATTAATTTTATGTCATGTTTTCCCCCTGGATGTCTGGTAGAACTCTTACTGAGTAGTGTAATAACTAAATATAAGGAAAGGCAAGAGAAAAAGAAATTCACAGAACAGACCATGGACCCCTGAGTAATTGGAATTTCACCACTCTGTGCTGTTAGGTGCTTCTTTCGTGGTGTCCTGAGAGCTGATGTTAGATGGGTCAGGCCGGTTGCAGTCCCTGCAGATTAGGAAGTCCCACATATGCTCATCGTCTGAGGCCAGAGCTCATGCCTGGTTCTGTGTCCTGTTGCTGTTAGGGCTGTGATGAGAGGTGCCCACTACTGTGTCTTCTGAGCAGATTCATGATGCCTCACCTTTGTTATTCTTGCCCCTGGCAACCACACTGGAGTGTTACGTTGCCCGGGGTGCGGAGGTTGGAGGGTGGTGACTTGGTTGTCCTACCCATGGCCTGTTGGCTTCCTCACTTTTCCCTTCCACCTGCAGCAGTGGATAACTCGACGCAGACGTGTGCACAAACGACGTCTGGTTCGGAGGTGTGTCTAGTGTGGCATTTTGCAGTGCACAGACGGTCTTGATTGTCCGTACCTGCTGTGGGATCCAGTTTTGGGGTCAGAGTTTTCAGGAGTGGTAATAAGCCTGATGGGGGCCAGAACAGGGATCTAAGGGTAGAATTTCTGTCTGTGTAGTACTTTATACAATCTAGGACTGTCCTGTTTATCAGGAAATGATGTTGCTTTGGCCTAAACCCAGTGGCTAGATTGAGCACTTGCTATGTGCCAGGCTCTGTATACATCAACTTCCAGTAGAACCCATCAGGTAGGTATTATTAATTATCTCCAAATTACATATAACAAACCTGAGGTTCAGGGTGATGGGTGTTACCCAAGGTCTCCCAGCTAGGTATATTAGACTAGTGATAAAATCTTGAGCTCTTAACAGCTGCTATATGCTGCTTCCGAAAGCATTTCCCAGAGTGTTTGTGTTCTCAAGATGTGACTAGGAGAAGGCTGTGACTTGGGGGCATTTTCATAAGCTTCTTATTTTTCATGGAGATGATTCTCTTCTTGGTAAATTTCACAGATAGTGAATGGTGATTAATTCTCATTAACCCTGGTTGAGGTATAGGTTTTGTTGCCTGGGGTGAAAGAAATACAGGTGTTGGGGGCAGTGGCTGGATGGAAAGAAACGTTTCAGACTCCAGTCGGATTTGAATTCCTTATGAAGTGCCGCCAGGAGCCAGGAGAGCCTTGGGTCAGGAAAATGGAAAGGGCCGAGTGTGAAGTTCCTGAGAGCCTCTCAGTGTAACCTTCCTGAATGATGGTGACTGAGACCATTTTTATGGTAGTATTTGGTTCAATTAAAAATGAGAACAGTAGAAATCTGGAGACATGTGAAGGCTAGCAGTTCAAGTCTGAGATCATCAGATATTTATCTTCAGTGTTCAGACAAAAAAGGGCAGCTCCTGAAGGCAATCTGCTAGCCATCGCCTGGTATGACCAGGTGAGTGGATTGAAGCTGGGACACCAGCTGGGTGGTGGCATCTTTCTCAGTGTCTGGGAAGCCAGGAAGGAAGAATGGAAGTCTGGAGGTTGTGTGTTCCAAGATGGTGTTTGAAGCAGGGAGGAAGGGCGTGCCCACTGACTTTATCAGGAACACAGAGATACGGAATTGCTTGATAAGGAATTGAAAGACTGGGTGGAGGTCAGATATAAACAGGTAAATATGGGGAGAACTGTTTCAATGGAGATGGTAATGAAGGCCAGGGCAGTGTTCTCCAAGGCCACCAGTGAGAAGGGAGGATGCCCGAGGACAGGTTCAGGCGTCTGAACCTGCAAGATACTGAATCAGGCAGGCCACTCCCTGGGCAGAGTGATGGGCTGCTATCTTCTCTGTGCTTTGGTGTCATCCTCATCTAGTCCCTTCATCCTAGAAAAGTACATATTTAACATGTCCTATTTCTTTACCTGGATAGTAGTTAAACAGATGTTTGCTTTAAAATTATTCATGAAACTCTATAGATACTTTTTGTGCACTTGTCTATATGTGTGTATATTGGAATTAAAAGATGAAAAAACAAAAAAGTGCCCAGTAGAGTCCCTGGCCACCAGTGCATGCCACGCTCTTAGCACCCAGGTTCTTTTGCCCATACACACAGCGCGGCCACCGGCTTTCCATTCTGCGTGCAGACCTCATGTTTCCCACAGGTTTCTGCAGGATTGGAAAGCTAGGTGACCTGAGGCACAGAGGTGGCCGTTTTGTCATTAGATTCCTCTGCATGTCTCATTCACTGTAGTGGTCGTGGAGTCGGACTTTGTGAAGTACGAGGGCAAGTTTGAAAACCATGTGAGTGGGACCCTGGAGACGGCACTGGGGAAGGTCAAGCTGAACATTGGTGGCAAAGGCCTCGTGGAGAGTCAGTCCTTGTTTGGAACCCTGAGGAAGCAGGAGGTGGACTTGCAGCAGCTCATTGGAGTTGCCCAGGAGAGGTAATGGGAATTCTGCTTGGCATTTTGGACTTTGACATGTCTCTCATTGAAAGGTCATTCTGTGGGACGTTGGCTAGAAGGGTGACATTGGGATCTTGGCCAATCAGCAAACGTTACCGAATGCCCATGTGCTGAAACTTGATGAGCAGTGCATCCTTTAGTCTGGACGTTGACTATTCTTAGCCTGAGAGGGGAGACTTGGGAAGCATTTTAAAAGGATGTTACTTCAGACAAATGTGTACTTTAAAGAAATCATACAATTTATAAAATACCAACAGTGAGAACGCTCTGTCCTACGTTTCTGAATATTAATATCAGAAGTAGAAAAATCCCCCTTCTGCCCTGGCTCTTTATGATTTTCTGATGAGGAAAAGGAGAAAGCAGGTGTGGGGGGCTTCAGGGGAAGAGCTGGTTTTTAACTCTGAAGTCTTAAAACCCCACGTTTATTCATTGTTTAGATGTCAGTAAATACATTTTACCCCAGTAAAATGATAATACCTCATTATTTTTACCTTATGTTTATTCAACATTCCATAAGTAATTTTGCTGAGTGCCTACGATGTACCACATACTGTTCTACGTGCTGGGGATGCTGCAGTGAACAGAATGCCAACATTTCTGCTCTATATTCTAGCGGGGGAGAGACACAAAACATGCAACTAAGTGAAATATATAGTAGGTTGATGGTGCTCTCTGGAATGGAGAAAAATGTAGCAGAGATGGGGGATAGAACATGCCAGGAATGGGGGCTGATTTGAAAAGGTGGCCAGAGAAAGCATCCTGGAGAAGATGGCATCAGAGCAAAGACCTGAAGCTGGGGATGGGAGCGAGCATAGGAGTGTCCTGGGCAAGAAGGCTGTAGGCAGAGGTGGTGTGATTGGGGCTGAGTAAATAGGGCAAGGGCAGATGAGGTCAGAGGGCGTAAAGGAACAGTAGCAGGTCCCGAAGGACCTTGCAGGCCACTGGAAAGACTAACTCGTCCTCGGAGTGAGGTGGGAAGCCACTGGAAGATTTTGAGAAGGGAAGTGACAGGATCTGACTTACGTGTTAGAAGGATCCTTCTGGCCGCTGGGCTGAGGAGAGACTGGATGGGTGGGAGCTGGGCATCCAATTGAGAAGTTATTGTAGTAATCCTGACAAGAGATGATATTTCCTCTTGTACAGTAACATAGGTGCATTTTCATGTGTAATTGTATCACCCTTTTTCTTTTAAAATGGAAAATGTCAACCCAAATAAATTAAGAGAAAACTCACTTGTGTTAAGTATAGGTAGCTTATCTCCTCTTTTCCAATGTTCTTAGGATTATATGAAATATAAAATAGGTTTGCTCATTGAATGAAATAATCTTTAAAAATTAATGAGTAAAAAATACCATAAAACTCATGTATCAAGCATTTGGTGGGTGGGTTTTGGACAGATATCGAGCATGCTTGGGCAACTGAAGTCTTCAAAACCCATTCACCTCTCCGCTAAGCTGATGCTTAATGGAGTTGAAAGACCATGGTGGCTATTTGACTGTTGCCTCCTGGCACTTTCTAGAACTCCAGGACTCTACTGAGTTAGGACTCAGGCAGGAATTCCCTTTCTCGGTCAGAGACCTTTAAGCTCTCTGTGGTGACACCAGGTGGAAGGGACAGCCACCTCTTTCTCTGATAGTCATGACCTTAATTATCTTTTCTCTACCGCTCTTCTTTGCTAGAGAGGCATTTTCCTTCTCTACTACAACACTGGAAAGATATTTGTTGTTTGTCTGAAAATGAAATTTAACTGGAAGTCTTATATTTTTATTTGCTAAGTCTCGCAAATAAGGGGGAAGAGGGGCAGGAGGGCTGGCTGTTCCCTCAGTCTTTAGACAGCCCTCTAGAGCGTAATCCTATTCTGCAGTCTTGTTATTTCTATTTGAAAAACCACAGTTTAGCAATGCTCTATAATCACGTTTCCCGTTATAGGTTTCTCAAACGCTCTTCGTGATTCAGGTGTAGAAGATAGTGCCAATAGGAAGCATATGGGGAGGAGTCAGTGAGTAGAGATGGGAAAAAGTAGTCTCAGAGAAAGATGCTAGGGCCAGCAGTTATAAGGGGGAGAGAGGGAGGGGAAGGAGATATGCATGTGCTGAGTACCTCCTGTGTGCCAAGCACTTTATAGACGTCATCTCATTTACTCTGCACAGCCGTCTCTTTTTAGGTTTGAGGATTTAAGGCTCGGGGAAGGAAGTGACTTGTTCTCAGTCTCGGAACTCAATTTGGGTGCTGCAGCTGGGATTCATCCCAGGATTTTCTGGCTCCAAAACTCCTGTTCTTTCCTCTACATGATTCTTGAAGTGACTGTGAAGCAAAGGAATTGGCTGAGATAAAAATAGTTAAAATTATAGCAGGAGATATAAAGGCAGAGGCATGAATCTGGGTCCCCAGTGAGGGTACCTAGGGGGTGTACAGTGTTCCAGGCACTGTCCTGAACAAGCACATGTGAATAGCTGGTCTGCCCACCTGGAGGTGCCCACACGAGGGCATGAGATCACTTGGGGAGAGTTTGGACATTCTGTTCTTTCTACAGGTGATTGGGAAAGGATGGCCTGGATAGGGGAAGAGGGGTAGGGGCAACACCAGGAACATGGTAAAGAACAAATTTAAAGTCTAGAAATGGAAGAGGTATCTTATCACAGAGTCACTGCTTCCTTGTTTTGTTACTAAGAGGTAAGGTTGAGCAACAGGGGAGAGAAGAGGAGGAAGACTTGACCATAGGATGGAGATCGTGTAAAGCTAACATTCTTGTTACTTCACCCTGGAATGATAAATTCTAATCTACATGGTCTACCTGTTTTTGGACTCCCACAACATCATCAGATTGATAAGGCTGGCTGTTTGACACGTGTGTAGCCTTGGGGGTGGTGATTGGTAATGCTTAAGTACTGTCTTTCTCGAGGGCTTATCTGCCATCATTTTTATTTCAGGTCATTTAGATAAGTTGTCATCTGTATACAAGTTATTTTAGCCCTTGGAATTCAGAGTATTTGTTTTATTGTCAGTGAGACGTATGCACATCTCAAAAACAAACTTCATATGTCCTTGAAAAAACAGGTGCGTTCATATACAACAGTTATGTAGCATTGTTGAGCATGAAGGCAATCCATGGGACCACAGGACTTAACTTTCCAGATACCTGGACATGACCCCTTTGAATGAGAGCTCTATGTTTATCTTAAAACATTCTTGATGGAAAACAGGCTAAGACCTTTCCATAATGACTCAGGTTCATGTTTTATTCCTTAGATCCAGTATTATTCTGAGACAAACTCTTTAGTTTTTCCACCTTGTCTTCCACTGTCAGCTGCCATTTGTCAATGCTTTATAACCGCCATACCCTCCCCATCTCTGCCACTGATTATTGCTCCTAACCTCCTAGTGTTTGAGGAAGTTTACTCATGGAAAATAACTTCTGCAGACATGGTAGGCCGCTTCTGTCCCTGCCAGGTTTAGGTGGAATAGTTGGACTAGAGGATCTTTGAGGGTTTTCTCTGGGCTAAATGTAGAAGTGAGTGGACTCCGAGTGCGCACATCAGTTCCTCCCCCTTGAGTTCAGGGCCTTGGTTTCAGCTGATTTCCAGAGACGGTGCCATTTTGTGCTTTCCTGACTGTTCAGGGGTTAAGGGGGGGGGGGGCGTTGTGGTACAGGCAGATCCCACTTTCATTCTTTGGTTCATTGTAAGGCAAATTGTGGTAAAGAAAAGATTCCATTTTTCTATGAATACATGATAATTAGAAGTTCGGTTCTTCATTAAGAATTCTAACTTAAAAATTATATGAAACTAATATATCATGCAAGCAATGGTATGGCAATGTTGAACCTTCATAATTATTTAAAGTATTTTAAAATTACCCCCGCAAAGTCTTACTATATCTAAATATTTACAAATTGTACAAGTTTTACACACAAGAAAAAATGTTAAATGCTCCTGTTGGTTATGGCCCACATTTGACCTCTAATGTTACCGCAGTAGCTCTCCTGAGTGAAGTTTCAGTGTGCCGTCAACTCTTTATTTAGGAGTATTTTGAGGGGAGGGATTTGGGGACCTGTCTCTTTCTTGGGAAAAAAAAAACCATGCAGCAAAGTTGGAACTGGTCTTTTCTACTTGATATCTTTCCCTGTGGCCAGCAGATGTTTTGTCTTTTTTTTAAATGTATTTATTTTATTTATTTATTTTTGGCTGCGTTGGGTGATTGTTGCTGCACGTGGGCTTTCTCCAGTTGCGGCGAGCGGGGGCTACTGTTTGTTGCGGTGCACGGGCTTCTCATTGTGGTGTCTTCTCTTGTTGCAGAGCACAGACTCTAGGTGCACGGGCTTCAGTAGTTGTGGCCGGTGGGCTCAGTAGTTGGGGCTTGCAGGCTCTAGAGTGCAGGCTCGGTAGTTGTGGCGCACGGGCTTAGTTGCTCCATGGCATGTGGGATCTTCCCAGACCAGGGCTCAAACCCGTGTCCCCTGCATTGGCAGGCGGACTCTTAACCACTGCGCCACCAGGGAAGTCCCCAGCAGATAGTTTGAAATGATTCTGTTTACCTTTGCGCTCAATTCAGTGCTGGCACCGTCTTTTAAAAAATTTTTATTTTGTATTGGAGTATAGTGGATTTACAATGTTGTGTTAGTTTCAGGTGTACAACAAAATGATTCACTTATATATATACAAAAATCTATTCTTTTTCAAATTCTTTTCCATTTAGATTATTACAGAATATTGAGTAGCGTTCCCTTTGCTATACAGTGGTCCTTGTTGATTATCTATTTTAAATACAGTGGTATGTATATGTCAATCCTGAACTCCCCCCAGTTTATCCCCCGCCCCCTTCCTCTTTGGTAACCATAAGTTTGTTTTCTAAGTCTGTGAGTCTGTTTCTGTTTTGTAAATAAGTTCATTTGTATCATTATTTCTGGCTTCCGTGTATAAGCAATATCATATACTTGTCTTTCTCTGACTTACTTTACTTAGTATGATAATCTCTAGTTG